TTGATTGGTCAATGGTCAATAGTCAATGGCTCCTTCTAAACGGACTAAATGCATTGCCTTATTAATTACATGTTGGTCCGTAGTAGACTATGCACTACAAGAAATATCTACATTATTAGCAAGAGAGAAGAGCTATTATATGTCATCAATAGCGTTTTCATAAATGCTGTCTTATGCCCCTGTTATGGTAGCACCCCCACATACGATAGCGTTTTTTCCGTATGTTATGATAGAGTATTCTACCATAGCATTAGTTAAACGCTTTGATATATAGCAATGCTCTCTGGATTTTTTGTTGTTGTAGCGTAATTTAAATGCTATACTAGTATGCTTTGTTTTGTAACTCTTTTTCATAGCTATTGATCTAATATAAATGGTTTTTTCCAATTAAATTTTACATTTATATTTATATATATTCTATATAAATTAATATTGGTCAACAACTATATTAAATATATTTTTATTTCATTGAAAATCCATAAAAAACATAACAAGTCTTACAAACTATAATCCAAACTAAATCTTAAACTAAAACATCAAGTACTGCTCCTACACGATAAAGAATGCTAATCATAAAGTTTAATGATAAAGAACAAAAGAGAAACAAAATCTTTAATAATGGGTACCAAAACTTCTTCGTACTTGTAAGTTAAGAGGAAGGATTTAGCCTGTCCACCTGCTTCCTTGGAGTATCAGACATAAGCAGAAGTCTCTGCTTCTTGAAAGCATAAACTCTTAGATATGTTGAATGAGAATCACCTGGTTTGAAGGGAACCTGAGATTCATGATGGTCTTTTTAGCATCAGACTTCAAAGACAATCCAATGACCAAAATTGCTTCTACTGCAGCTTATTCACCAGCCTTTAAGAAAATATGAAAAGAAACTTGCCTTAGCCTCTGGACCATATGCTTCCTTTGGTCTTGTCATTCTTTCCCATAGTCAACGTTAACATCTCTGTATACACATACTCATCATAGAGGTAAGAACAAAGGTCAGACCCAAACGTATCATTAATCATTCATACTCACCGCTAAAGCTAATGACTCTTCAAAACCCTTTGACTTTAGCTCTTGCTTTCTCAATGAATCTAGGCACATGAGAGTACAATTACTAGGACTGGTATTAACATTTGGTCCCTGCACTGTAAAAAAACAGAACCCATGTAAGTTAAAAAATAACTTACATGGTGGCAGAAGACGAACAAATAAGCAACTTAATGATTCATTTTATTCTTATGATGTGTAACGCCAAAGCACGAATGAAGAATATCAACAAACCTGTTTAGGTAGCAGAAGAGGACTTGGAGACTTGAGCTGGTTGTCAAGGAAAGGCATGATGAGTGTGGAACCAGAACCTGAGCACCATATACAACTCTCTCATTTGATCCAACAGCGTCGTAAGTAAAGACACCCTTTACCTGGATAATCAAGAATAAAGATCACACAATGTAGCTCTTTCTATAGTCACATCATAACGTAGAAAGAGAAGAAGAGCATTTTACCTTCCTCGTCAAGCCCTCCTACTCTAACACAAGTCTTTTACATCTTTAAAAAAAAAAGATATATGTATGTAGCTAACCAGAGAATCCCAAAAACTTGCGACTTAGACAACCAAAACTTGCAAATTTAGAAACCAAAACCTGAAAATTGGAAACTAAAACCTGCAACAGAAAATCAAAACCTGCAGCATCAATCAAAACCTGCAGCATCAATCATCAAAAGCCATAAAAAAACATACTCCAATCAAGGATCAAGTATGAAACATTACCATTACGATTACAAATCTGTAGAGTAATTGTTATCTAAATCGTAACAACCTAGGCCAAAGTAACCAAATTAAATTCTTCAAGATCACACTTACCAATCTTAATAGAGTAAAGAACAATTCGAAGCAGCAATGAGAAAAAGAGAAAAGTAACAACATCTTAATAGAGTAAACATGAACAATTGCAAACATTTCTTAAAGACTGCACACATATACCAAAGAGGAGAAATTTCGACAGTCCATAGAAAATGTATGGTTTGCTTGAATCCTAAGAACTACATGAGTAAAGACTCCATGTAGATCGAAACTCCTCTTAGATCCACAATATCCTACCAAACCAGATCTGATAAAGAGGAATACAAATAAAAAAACAAAAGCCAACATCTAATTCAATTCAAAATCAAACGAAAATTAAAAGTAACGACCAAAATCACAAAACCCACCTCTTTACAATCTTTTCTCCGTTCTTAATTGTCTCATCTTCACCAGACCCATTCCAATCTGGGTTTCTCGCTTTATCACCCAATCTTGCTTTCGTTGGTGTTGCGTCAGAATCTCGCAACACTGTTGACCCATTCGAATATGGATTTTATGGCTCTAGATCTAAACGGAGTTCCTAAATTCCGGTACCATAACCGATTTGAAGTCCGCCAATATCTTCTAAGCAATCTCTCTCTCTCTCTTTCTCTCTTCTCTGGGCTGGAACAAGATGAGTGTTGGAGGTCGGGTGTGGAGAGGTGAAGAAAATATTAGGTCACAAGTGGGGTTTGTGATTTTTTTCTAAGTGTGGGAGGTATAAAGTGTAATATTTGGCTAAATTTTTGCGGACACAAGTGAAATTTAAAACTTTTGTTTTAATTTTGGCCAAGTTTTGGGCGGTATAAACGATTTTAGATTTCCCCTTACGAATTTTATCTTAGCATTTATTAAACGCTATAACATAGTAACCAAAATTACATACTCATCTTTAATAGCAGTTGGGAAAAATGAGCTATTTCCCAGTGCTATGAATGTGGACTTTTTTTGTAGTGATATGACACGATGGTTTTATTTTTCCGCTTATCCATTCGTTTTGATATATAGTATATGTGTTATATAATTTATCTTAAGTCATGAAACTTTAGGCGTTTGTACCAGTACTTTTATTTGATATATGAGCTTGCCTATCTTAGTATCTTGCTTAACCAGTACTAAGGAGCTGAAGTCTTAACATTTTTATTTGTTTATTATTTTGCAGAATGGATTTACAGTCTCCATATACACTAGAAATGCTCAATGCTCCGAGTCAATATATTGATATGAATGAGGAAGATGCTCAAGATGAAAACATTGAGATGAATGAGGGAGAAATAGAAATTGAAGAACCAGAGCAAAGTGACACTCAAGCTCCAAGGAAAAGACGATTAACTTTAGTAGTTTGGAACCATTTTGTATTAGTTGGGACAAAAAAAGATGGCAAAGAAAGAGGCAAATGCATCCATTGTGGTACAAAGTTAGTGATTAATACTAAAACACATGGAACAAAGAGTTTGATTCGCCAATTTGGATAAGTGTTCAATGAAGCCTAGAAAGGAAGATATGCATGCATATGATCATAAGATAGACCGTGAGATGACTAGCGAGATCATAATTTATCATGATTTTCCATTTCGGTATGCTAAATATGAAAAAGTCAGAGCAAGAGACAAGTATGCCAACCTATTTTTAGACAGACTGCTGGAGCGGATGTGTATAGGCAGTACGAGATTGAAAAGATCAAGCTGAAAGAGGTACTTGCAAAGCATCGTGGTCGTGTCTGTTTCACTGCAAATTTATGGTCAGCTCATGCCACAGTCATGAGTTATATTTTTTTGATTGCACACTTCATTCATGATGGCTGGAAATTAAACAGTCAGATTCTAGCTTTTTTGTGAATTGAAGTCTCTACACACTGAAGAAATTTCTAAAAAATTTTTGGAGTGTTTGAAAGAATGGGGACTAAAGAAGAAGGTATTTTCAACTACTCTAGATAATGCAGAAAATCATAATAGTATGCAGACCATTCTCAAGGTCAACTTCAGATGATTAGTGGCAGTGGTTTATTATGTGATGAAGAGTTTATGCTTGTTAGATGTTTTGCACATATTTTGAATATCATAGTAAAAGCTAGTTTAGAACTAGCGAATGATTTATTGCACAATATTATAAAAAGTGTCAAATATGTGTTAAAGCATCTCCTCAAAGAAAAGAAGCTTTTGCATATTATAGAAGCTTCAACTACTCTTTATTCAAAGATTCATAATCCCATTTTTAATTAATAACCAAAAAAAAATCAAATACTCTTTTAGTTTTTTTTTTTGTGCCATAATCTTAAAGCTAGCACGAGCGGAGGGTCGTGTTGACTAAGTCTAGACGACGAGTCGTATCGACAAGCAAGGGTTCATATTCCAGGTAAAGGGAGCGGTTCGGGCCTCATTGCCATCCGTGTTACTCAACCTACTATTAGGAACTGTGAACCCCGACGAGTACTATTGACTGCCGTGTTCGACCGTCGTATTGACGGACCACTTATGCTAACCTTAAGAAAAGAAACAGAATCGCGACTGTGTTTAGAATAGAAAAAAACAAGGTTTATGAAGAAGTTAGGAAGTCTGGAAAATTTAGAGAGAAGTTAGAGAGACATTTTAGAGAGAGAAAGCTATTATGAAATTTTATGATATTTCAAGTTGTGATTTCTTACAAGGGGTGCACACTTATTTATAGGAGGATTTAAGGCGCTGACATAAGCGCTTACCTCAGCGATTACATCATCGCTTACATCATTGCTTACATAATCATTACATCAGCGACTACATCATCGCTTACATCATTATTTATTTTACATGATTTTAGACACATCATACATATTATATTTTACTTATTTTATATTTTCCATACCTTTTAATGATCCATTTCGAATTCCAGCATATGTTCTTCGCAGCATCCATAATGATCATCTGGACATTCATACGAGTCTTCAATCATTTGTGCATCTTCTTCTGGTTGAACATTTATGCAGAATTTGAACTTTTCTTCGATATCTTCAACATTTACTTCATCATCTGGAGATTGAGCGTCCTTAAAGTAATCAGCACAGTAATCTTGAGAAGTCGCTTGGGAAGTTGTTTCTTCTTGTTTATCTTCTTTTGAACTGTTTGGTCTTCCTCTGTCAAACTTCATCATGTAATACTGTAAATCTTCATCAAATTGCATCTGATAATCGACCGGATAGTGAACCCAGTTGGAAATGAACGGAATAGGAAACATCTGTCTTGCATTGTTGAGGTGAAACGCATGAGTTTGGAAGTTTTCGTATGCTTCGTTATCTTGAAGGTTGAAATCTGGACGAACTCCTCTTGAAAAATCACCGTGATGAATGAGAGTTGGAAGAGCAAGAATTTTGCTTGTTTTGCGGTTGACCTTAACGGGACGATGAAAGAAGTAGATTGAATGTGGATTGAAGAATGGGTTGAGTCCACTTTTTTTCAGCTTCTTGAATGTTAGATTCGTTGCTTTCGCGGATTTTCGTAGTTTTCCACTCCAAACAGTCAATGGTGAAAACCACCTTAGGAATGTTGAGAAACAGTCTCTTTTGTCTTGAACAGTGTTGACGTAATGGTATAGCCACTGGATGTCGAAAGCAATTCCTACAGTATAGATAGCACAGAGATACCAAAGAAAACAGAGAACTTCTTCTGGCATGTTTGAATTCTCGATTCTGTAAAGATGTGCAAACGGATAGTCAGGATGAATTCCCATTGGAGCAATGTGGTGACAGTTTACTCCATAGTTCGACATGATGGTAGATTGATATGAAAAGATCTTTGTGCGTAGTAGTTCATGAAGCTTGTTTCTGCTGATGAGTTGATGAACATCTTCGGGTACGTCGGCTTCAAAGTCATAGTAGCTCTTCTTGGATTCGGAGGAACTGGCCATCATGTGTATCTCGTAGGGCGTTTCTTGTTTTACTGGTTTTCGGCTAAGCATGTTTGCTAAAGTGTTCTTGGTGCCCTTTAAATAGACTGACTCGAAATCGTACTTTGAGAACCATTCGCTCCATCTTAGTAGCTGTTGATGTGGGACCATCTTCTGCTTGAACTGTAACATCTTGGGAAATGAAGACATATCCATTTCTATACGAAACATGTGTCCTATTAGATGAAATTCAAACCTCTCGATAGCCCTTTTGACCGCTAAAATCTCCTTGAACGTTGAGTGATAATGTTGCTCTGAATCTTTGAAACGACCACTCTTGTATCCACATATTTGTCTTTTCCCATCCATCTCTTCAAACAGTATTGCTCCCCAATACTTATCACTAGCGTCTGTCTGTAGAATACGCATGCCTGAGGAAAGAATCTTTAAAGGGGGTAGCTTTTGCACTTCTGCTTTTAGACTTTTGATAGCTTTTGTTTGTCGTGATGCCCACAAAGGAGGGTTCTTCGACAACATTTTCTGTAGAGGTCTCGTCATTCTGGAAAGGTGTGGAATGAAGTCTCCCACATAATTGATTACGCCAAGAAATTGTTGAATTTGTCGCCTTGTAAGATTTTCATCGGGAAAATCCAGAAGTTCTGTAGCTAAATGGGCTTGTGGTATGAAACTTCCTTCTTTGATATGCATGCCAAGAAAATCAATGTTGGGCTGGGCTATTATCATCTTTCTGGCTGATAGCATGATCCCGTTCTTCTTGACAATGTCTTGAAACTGTTGTAGCGCCTGAATATGCTCTTCTTCATTTTTTGAGAAGATGAGTATGTCGTCAATGTATATAAGAGCTGTGTATAACAATGGCTCGAATATACGTAACATTGCTTGTTGAAATAGTGATGGCGCCGTCTTGAGACCAAAGGGTAAGACATTCCATTGAAGATGTCTATTTGGAAGGCAAAATACAGTCTTGTATCTTTCTTCAGGATGAACTCCGAGTTGCCAAAATCCTGATTTTAGATCAAACTTCGAAAATATTTTTGCACCTTGGAGATGTTGGAGAAGCGCTCTTTTATTTGGTAGTGGAAACTTGACATCTTGCAGATACTGGTCAATGGCTTGTAGTCAATAACCAATCTGAGTTTTCCTCTGGCTTGTTCAGCACGATTATTGACGTAGAACACTTTGCATGCCCATGGAGAGTTTGTTCTTGAGATGATACCTTGATCCACCAATTGATTGCATTCTTCATTTGCCTTCTGCAACAATGTTAGAGGCATTCCTGCATGGCTTACCTTTGTCGGTGTTGTGTGTATGTCTTCCTTGAATGGTAGGGATACGAAGAAGTCTTAGTTCAACCATAGCGGATGATTACACTTTTGAAGGAACTCCGTGTGTGAATCAGCGCATGATGTCATCTTTAATTCTTCTTCAATTTTATTGAACCCCGCAGATACTGAGTCTTCGATTGAGAACAAGCGATGCATCGTGGTAAAAGCCTTGTAGAGATTTTTCCATCTCACACCTCTTGGTTCTAGAGAAATGCCGAACTTCTTTTTCAGTACCGAATATGTATCCCATCCAAGGATTAAGTCTTTACCAGGTACAGATGAACCTAGTACTTCCTTAGTAACATGACATCCTGGAAAAAGCTCTATCGTGATTGGTTTTGATTTCAGCTTAACCGTTAGGGATCCAGAGTTTGCGACTCTGAAATCTTGTTGATGAGGCATCCACATGTTTCGTGAGAGAATCTTTGGGTTTATGATTGTTGTATGAGCTCCTGTGTCGATGAATGCGATTGCATGTACTGGTTTTTCTCTTCTTGAGGGATCAAAGATGGTTACTGGTAGATGCGGTGTCTGCAGTTCATCTTCTTGAGGCATCTGGGCAATCTTGAAACAACAATCGCCTTTTTCATCTTCGGATGAGGATTCTGAAGATTCATCATAATCTGAATAACTGCATATAGCATCATTCTCGTCACTCTCATAAGATAGTATTGACTCAAGATCGTGGTTATCGATATCAAGATCTGGAGCTATCTTGGATATCGAGTGAATGAGATATTGCTTCTTCTTTTTAGACTTGTTTGGACAGTCTTTTGCAAAATGCCCCGTCTTTCTGCATAGAAAACATCTCAAAGTTTTCTTGAAGCGTTTCTTCTTTCTGAAGAATCTCTTGCGTTTAATCTTGTTGAAATACTTCGATTTCAAGAATGATTTCTTGGATCTTCTTTGGTCTTTTCATCGATCTTCACATGAACATTTTTTCTTTTTCGAACATTTGATGTTCAGATCCGGACGAGCACATATCTTCGAAAGATGCTTTGATTTGTCCATGAATTCTGACCAAAACTCCTTTTGCTTACAAAGCTTGTCAAGGGTTCTGAACACGTGCTGCTGGATTTGTCCAATCGAGATTTCTTCGATTGTCTGTCCTTGATCTCTGATATACAGCTTCGTTTGTTGACTTAGGTAGTCATCTATTGATGAGAGATATACTTGCTTCAGGCTTGGATTGTTTAGACCATTGAGAGCATAATACCTTCGAGCGAAATGCTTTGCTAAATCTCTCTTCTTCAATGAACAACACTTTGCTGTGTAGAACTCTTCTTGTAGTTGTTCTTTTAAATGACTTGGGGTGCCAACGAATTCTCTATGTATTTCTCCAAGAAGTAGAGGTATCGTTGTCTGATACACCTGCTACTGCCGATATTCTCTAAGCGAATTCCACCATTCTTTTAATGCGCCTGAAAGTCTCGATGTGAATTGTTGTATCACCATATCTGTTGGGGACGTGATTGCTTCGGAGGTCATCCACGCATGGAATTCGTCAAGACGACTATTCCATTTTTCAAAAGGAATGTCATCAAATGTGAACACCATTATCTTTGATGAAAACTGCTTCTTTGGTACACCTTGAGTTTCATAGCCCATCTCTTCGTCACTTGAAATTACTTCATAGATTGGTTCTTCTGTTGGAATATGTGACTCATCTCCTATCGCAAACTGATTTGGAAGAGATTCATCTGTTTCTGATTCCTTGACGGAAGAGGTTGAATCCGAAAGAGCTGAAATGTGAGTCATTGTAACGATTGGTAGCGGCTGCTGCTCTTTTGATTGAATTTGCAATTCTTGTCTTTCGTCGTCAGATGTCTTCACAAGATTGTCTAGTAAACTAGACATTGAAAACTCGATCATCGCAATATCTTCCTTCTTTGCAACATCCTCTTTCTTTTCATCTTGAACGGACTCATGGCTTGATGAAGATGCAAAACTTGGCTTCTTGGATGGATTAATTTGAAATTCAGAATCCTTTTAATGCCTTGGTCTAGTTCTTGCCGCTTTTGTTTTAAAATTGCTGATTGAAGTTGTACCAAACCGAGATGTAAAGGCTTCATCTGAGGATAAGAATCCAGGTACAGGCTGTTTCGGTCTTGGATCTTGATAACCAGACAGAAACCCTGGGGAATACTATTCTTGATATGTGGGTAATCCAGATGACATATAGTCAAACGGATTATACACATTAACTCGCCTCTGATTCTGGACTAGACTATCTAGGCTCCTTTGAAGGTCTTTGAGTTGATATTTGAGATTGGTTTGTTCAGCTTCTTTACTTCTGAACTGTGACGTATCAACTTTCATTTGTTTTGCCATAGACATCATTTCATGGTGCAAGTTGCTGAGTTTCTGTTGAATCTCCGATATGGCTCCTTGCAGACTGTTAAATCTTCTATTGTTGTTTTCCGACATTTGATCAACCTTGTGGCTAATGGTTGACAATAATTGATTCTGAACAAAGGCATTTTCTGTTTGCCAGTTGAGAACCTTCTCTGCTTGGCTTAATTCGTCGGATCCAATAGAGTTGATGTTGTTTGGAACGATCTTTGGTGTATGCACAATATTGTCCTTGACAAAGTCTTTTGGTGGAGGAAAATCCATCTTTATCATCATGATTTGCTGGTTTGCTTCGTCCTCCTTTGTTGAATACTCGACTATGAAGTCGAAGTTGTCGTCACCAAGTGGACCTACTGTAGGATCTCCTTGAAGGTAGCGTTTATAAAGTGGATCTTTCTTTATCATCATGATTTGCTGGTTTGCTTCGTCCTCCTTTGTTGAATACTCGACTATGAAGTCGTAGTTGTCGTCACCAAGTGGACCTACTGTAGGATCTCCTTGAAGGTAGCATTTTGTTGACCTCTTTTATCTAGAATAAATAAATGAACACATACGATAAGAGATTGAATGTTATTGGTTTATTGATTTGTAAATTCATATAGGATTTAAAAATCTTTATTAATTATGAAATCAAGATATATGAATTTTGAATTAATATGTGTTTACCCATGGATTTGAATCCTTCTATTTTTCTCTTTTAAATCCATTCAAATCCATTTAAAATATAATTTGGATTTTACAATCCAAAAACAAATGACTAAACGAATAATATAGAATTTTAAATAGTATTATAAATCATAGAACTAATAACAAATTATTTTAATTATGATTTTAAAATCAATGATTGAATAACATATGATTTTTGTTTTGGATTTTCAAATCCTTATAAATCCATGAACCAATAAACCCCCTCCCCTCTCCTCTCCTAAAATTTGACCGGAATTTTTTTAGGGAATCTATACGCGGTGACTACAGAGGATTGAAAAATTAGTTTTCTCTCCTCTTCAATTTTATCGTCTACTGTACAACAAATTTAGACTATTTTGCCCTTAACTTCAACATTCATATTTCTCTCTTTTGTCCGTTATCTATGCGAGAAGAAAGAGAAATTAGATGAGAAAAAAGAAAAGAAATGGTGTTGGAGGAAGAAGATCCGGATTGGACAGTATATATATACAAATGTTGGCTGGAGAATCAAAGCTTGAGATTATTTTAATCCTTTCTTGTGGAGAAATGTTATGAGAGTGGATCTTATAAGCATCCCTAGTTTCTGGGAATTGAAATTGAATTGATGATCGTCGATAAGAATTAGATGAATTTGGTAATTGGGGGGGATGAGAACGAGGTAGTGGTCACTACTATTCCGGTGGATCCTTTGATGGAGACGAGAAGTAGTTTGATTTCACCGGAATCATGACGCTGCTAGTGGTTACTATTACTACGATGAAACCTTTGATGGAGACGAGAAGTAAAACGGCGATTAAAGGAGAAGAGACGAAGGAAGCAACATCGCCTGCTCTTAGACTCACGGCAGTGGAATTGTCATGGGTGGGGGAGAAGATGGAGCATCTCGGAGACGGTAAAGAGAGTTGTGACGAGGAAATTGAAAAAACCCAGTAGATTATTTCAGGTTTTCTTTCTCTTATTTGATTTCTAATGTCGATAAAATACTTGTTAACATGTTAATCGAATAGTTATCCACACAAACATTATAATATATGTAACTAGTTCTTTGTATATAATATAACAAATGAGTTGCCACGATAAATATAAGTTTATTACATAAATTATAAACTTATCGCGATACAATATGATTTAACACGATATATTTATAAACTTATCGATATATATTATGTTATCATGCTAACCTAATAGATAATCAGTTAACTCATAATATGTTCTTACCTATGTATTTGATTCGTTAGAATCAGATATAAAACGTCGATAACAATTTTCTTATATTGCTAAATAATTTGTTATATACGGAGAGGTATTTTTGTCCAATTTATATAAGTTGATGAGAGAGAATTAATTATATAAAAACTATAGGTGTATTCTTAATTTATAAGTCTTCTGTGTATTTATATTAATATAACCCATTTTTTTATAATGATAAATGCATTGAAAGAATATATTTAAATACAATTAACTAATGTTTAAGTATCATTGTTCTAAAATCTTAATGATTGAAATGAAATGTTCCTTTGACAAAACGAATAGCTTTTCACCCACTTTTTAACAACGTGGAAAAACAAGATTCTCCATATCTTTGGTAATCTTTATTTGCTTTCCTTTTAGTTAAATTTTTGTCGGTTGAAGTTTGTGCTTATGACAGTTTTACAGGACCAAGAAAAGAAAAAGAGCTTTGTGTTAAGATTACTTTGTTACACTACAAGAAATATCCACATTGATAGCACATGATGATAGCTCATTTTCCGTAACTGCTATGAAAGATAAGTTTTTGATTTGAATTATATATAATAGCACTGAAACAACGCTAAAATAGAAAATCACCAAATAGAAAGCTAAAATCACTCGTTCCGCCAATACTTAGGCGAAATAATTCACTTAAGCGCCATATGTTTTAGATCCAAAAACTTAAAACGCCAAAGTCCAAAAATTAAAACCCTTCACTTTACCACAAAATAAAACATATCTCCAAAAAAAAAAAAAATACCAAGTCGAAGAAAGAGATTTGTTGGATCTGAGACATAGCGTGAAGCTCGTCGCCGGCCTCCACAGTGAAGCTCGTCGTCACGACGGAACACAGTAAAGGTACTTCTATTTCAGATTTCTTAACTTATGAACCCTAAACTCATCTTCACCGTCATATTCCCGATTCTCTCCTCGGATTTCTCAATCGTCGCCTCCGTAACTTGCACCGCCGGAGCTGAAACCGGAGAAGAAGAAGCATATCTTCACCGATTTTGAAAATTGCGTTTTTGGTTTCGGTTAGGAGTTTGGTGAGAGCTGGAGCAGATTCAAGCCATGGATCTGGTGGTTGGTAAGTGACGGCAATTACTGTGAATATGAGAACTGTGAAGACGAAGACTGAGAAAGAGTGAACACATGGTCGTAGTAATTACGGGGTTTGGATTTCTTCTTTTGGTCCCTTTTGTTGATTTAATCATCTCATCATTGTTGATTTTGACTTTAGATACGTTTTTGTTCTTTAGGTAATGAAGCTCCAAACTTGAGGTACTACTACTTACTCTTACCTCTTCATCGATTCAACCATTGAAGATGGAGTCTTTTTTTTTTTTTGGGTTTGTTGCTTGAAAGGAATTACATAGTTTTTAGTAGCCACATATGTAAGTTGGTTTTGGATTTGTGTCTGCAAATAGTTTTGTTGGTTTTGGTTTATTTACAAGATGAAGCATACCTATCGTGTGTTTTTAAGTTGGCTTATCTTTTCTTATCTCATTTGATAAGATCTAGCTAAATGTATGATTTGAATCATTGCTTTGATTGCATTGTTTGCACCCACTTTGTTTTGTCACTCTTTTTGTTCTCTTGCTTCTTCTCTGGCCATAAACTACTCTTTCATGGTAAGATTTGTGAACTAAGAAAATGTCTTTGTTTGTTTGTTTATCTCAGTTCTGGAGATTAATTAAACAATCTCTTTTTTTTTTTGTAGGTTCTGAATTCTTACCTCTTGATATATAGCAAAACTGTAAGCTTACTTTGTCTTAGTTTTTGGTATATGTGTAAAAAAGCGACTGCAAAGGCTATTGTTATTAACTGGATTTTGAATCAAATGCAGCTTACATGAAAAATCATATGTTTGTTTCATCGGAGATTGATATAGGATTGTTGTTGTTTTGCCTTTCTTATAGGGTGGATGAATCTTTTGACGCTAGAGAAATGGAGTATGTGCGTTTAGTATCCGCTGTTTGTTGGATATATGGTGAGATCACATTTGTTTCGAAATTATTTTCTTTTGGTAAGTTGTGAAGCAGAGAGAGATGGAATCCTGGAGTCTCTAGAAGTGACGTAGTCAAGGTTCTCTCCTTCTTTGTTTCTTCCTTTGCCTCAGTCAGGTTCGTCGAATATTTTCTCGTAGCTTTCAACTTGTTTATCTTTTAAGAGAATAAGTTTAATATTTTGGAAATTCTAAATCAACTGGTACGTGATCTTGTTTCTTCTAAAACTAAATTACACATCTTTCATCACTATAAGTAAGAAATGTTGTCTTTTTGTAACCGATTTATCTCAAAAAATTAGGAAAGCTTTCAAGTATGAGTTTTCCATTTGATTTTTGTTTTTTTTTGCAGTCTGGAGCTTTCAAGTTGTCAAAAGATGGTTTTCTATTGCTCCAATTTGCTCCTTTTGCTGGTGTACAACAATATAATTGGGCAAGAAACAGGTTTGGTTTTATCTCTTAACTTCATATGGTCCATTAAGCTGTAACTTTGTTAAGACCATCTCACTGGATTTGGTGTTAAAAGACAGTCTTTTTCTGGTCACTTATTTAGCCTAAGTAAGTAAATATAATCTTCTTCTTGATTCTTGTCAAAATGGTTTAAACATTGTCTCTAACAGTTTCGATCTCCGTATATATATTAGGTGTGATTGAATTACTTACTCGGATCATGTTATTTTTCAGGTTGCACTTGATTCGCCTCCAAGCTTCTGTTTGTGCTCTCTTGTCCTATGCTACTGTTGTTGTTGCTGCAGCTTCTGTCTCTTCTCCTATGCTACTGTTTTTGTTGCTGCAGCTTCTGCAAAAGAGATCTCAGGTTCCTATATTTCACTCTTTCCTCACGGTTTTATACATAGTCATTATCTAGTAGAAGCATTTGAAAAACTAACTTGTTTTACTTATACAAAGACAACCAACGACAAAGAAAAGAACCAAGCTATAGAGGATTTGGAGATGGCAGTGAAGTGTGGACATCAACCTAAGTTCTTGGAGGGAGAGAAAGAGCAAATCAATGGAGTTCTTCGTTTAGTCCAAATGAATTACAATACTTGTCTTGTTTAAGACCTTGTTTTAAATGGTGTTGAATACTAAACTATGTATCTTTTGATGATCTATGGAAAGAAACATGCTTTTAATAAATTGGTTTTGTAGCATATAAGTAATTGGATTTCAAATATATATATTTTAATTGCATATGATGTATTAACGTATAAAAATGTGCTATAAAAAATTAAAGCATTTTAATAACGCTATGGTAGAAAGTACCTATAATAGCACGAAAAATGACTTAATACATAATTTTTTTTTTATAAAAAAGTCGTTATATCAAAGCGTTTGCCTAATGCTATGGTAGAATGCTCTATAATAACATACGGAAAACACGCTATTGTATGTAGGGGGTCTACCATAACAGGGGCATAAGACAGCGTTTATGAAAACGCTATTAATGACATATAATAGCTCTTATCTCTTGCTAATAATGTAGATATTTCTTGTAGTGTTATATCCCATTTTCTGGTCAAAAATCTAAACTACCATTTAAAGTTAAGATACTTCGTTTATATTTATGTACAATATACCAATGTCATATACATAAAAATAAATGATACAATCATGCATGTTTATACATAGGTGGAGATGTTATAAGTTTTTTTTTTGGTCAACAAGGTGGAAGTATTTATTTGTAATTATATGATATTTACACACAAAAATCGTTTACTTGGCGTTTTTGTTTGTGTGTAATTTGTCAACTATAGGGACGATCGTGAAGTTACGTTGTTGTTGGTGGTGTTTAGGAGGAGTGACCTACACGTCTTTAATTTTTTTTTTTTTTGAGATAAAGAACTTTTTAAGAAATTTGAGCAGAAAAGGACCAATAATCTTTAACGGTGACTGATGATAAAAACGTCCGCCGATGTGTACGGAACGTTGGACGGAGTTAGGACTTAGGGTTGATGTCATCTGGCTTTATCTCTCGTCCTACTTCATACCATTTGATTTGTGGTGTCCGAAGGTTTTGACTTTTAAGAAACCAGTCAACCAATTGGAGTGGTCTACATGATTTTTAGCATTGGAAATTTTTGAGAAATACTTTTGTTGGGGTGCATTTTTTAAAAATGTTCCCTTTAGTTGTTTATTTTCAAAAATATCTCTTATTAAATCTAAAAAGTTTTCTAAAATTTTATAAAGTTTATAAGGTTTATAAGGTACTTCCATATGGTAACACTACTACTACGACAAAAATGTAACCTTTTATGCAAGACTGCAACATACAAAAAACTTAAATACCTTTAAAAATTTAACACATAACGAACGGTACGTACGTCGGTTCAAGTCAATTTCTGAATTTGTTTTTAAAAATCCGAATTGAAAAGTATAATAAACAAAGAAAATCAAATTATACGTGTATAGATATGTTCAAACAAAGGCAATGGTGTTTCCGTAAATAAAACCAATTAAGGGAATGTCCACTTCTAAATAATTTCCTTGAGTTATAATAACTTAATAAGAGGCTAAAGACCAAAGTTAAGCCGTGTTGTCTTCTGCTGTAAAACTCAAAGACGACAAAGAAGTTAAAAACCTCTCTAATTAATCAGAAGGTTTTGCAAGTAGAATGGTGAACTCTCGTACGATCTACGCTGCGGTAGCGATTCTCATGATCGTGATCGCGGCAGTTGAAGCTGGCAGCTACGAAGACGCCTTGGGGTTCGTAGTCCGAACCGGAACCACCTCTAACTGCAAAGGATCAATCGCAGAATGTATAGCCGAAGAAGAAGAGTTTGAATTCGATTCTGAGATCAGCAAGCGCATTTTAGCTTCGAAGAAGTACATTAGCTACGGTGCAATGAGGAAGAACAATGTTCCTTGTTCCCGACGGGGTGCATCTTACTACAACTGCAAACGCGGCGCTCAGGCTAACCCTTACAGCCGCGGTTGCAGCACAATCACGAGGTGCAGGCGTTGAATTTGAATTTCTTGTTTTTACCTTATTCGTTCTTGTGCGTTTTTACTTTGTTCTTTTCTTTGTTTTTTTATCTGTTTGGGGTTTCATACATATAACATAATGTTAACTTACTTCACTTACGGAGATATTGGTTAACAAAATCTTGTTATACCTGAACTGAAACTACTTGTGTTATACCAAACAAAAACATAACTACATGAATAGATTCACCAAGGTGATGATACTTACGATATCATTCCAAATAGCAAGTTAAGTGGAGCAGTCGAACAAGATACATTTATCATAGAAAACAAATTTTGAAGAAACTTTTTAAAGTGTTCAGTAATGGATCAATAAAATCAAAGTATATATGAATATGATGATGATCTTTGACTTCTCAATAAAAGATGCCTCTAACATGGAAAAAAATTAAGATGTTCCCTACTTAGATTTGCATCTTAAATATACTCTAGAGTCTCTACCGTACTATAATATTTCTCAACTCCATTTTTGGATTTAGTTGTTGAAATATACGAATTTGACTGCTTAACCTTCACATAATTCTATAAATTCAAAATTCCTTAGAAGTCAGATTCTCTGCCATTGCTCATATCCTAGAAACCGTGTAGTGTTGATTCTGAAAATCACACAATGAATTTGTTTAAAGGAGGAAAACAAATTCAATAACTCTCTTTTGTAACTCGGATCTCTCTTTTGTAACTTGGATCAAAGACTCGAAGAAAAGGTGAATTTTATTGCTTAGAGACAACACTAGGGTTTAGCTCAAGAACAATTAGGGTTTTAGTGCAAAAGTTGCGGATCCCTTGAATAGAGGACAAACCTCTCTATTTATACAGGTTTTAGGCGGTTTAGAGATAAGTTAATCTTCTAATTTGATAAAGTTAAATCTTCAATCTTTCCTTTCTTTTCGGGATTCTCCTTAATCCTTTGGGAAAATCTCTTTTTTCCTGAATGAAGGAGTCGGTTGCGGGCGATCTCTCATGTCCGAGTTGAGCTCGCCTGGCGATCTCCTTGTTCAGCCCATTATCAGGCTTAACCGGGATTCCCCGGTTTACATTGAATTCTCAATTTGATTCGTAATTCGTCCGGTCTAAGCTGGTATTGTTGGAGGTGCTAATTCCTGCACCAACATGTAGCCTCATGCGGACTATGTGTGAAGGGTTATCGACGTAAAACATTCCATATAATATTATAATTAAGAGTTATTTTTCCATAACGCTAAGTGTAGATGTTTAATTTTGTTTATCTTTCATTCCTCGCTTTTTGAACTTGAAGCAAATGTTTTGCTCGTTCAGTTACATCTTTTCATGTACTTACATCGTATATATGTAAACTCTTGTTCACTGATTTAGCTTCCCCTACGGCCATATATACATAAACATTTTTAATTTAGGCGACAAAAAATTTATAGATTCAAATGCCTACCTAATTGTTTAGAAATTTAACGGACTATAATTAGGTACTTAGCCAACTCATTGAATATTTGAATGTTACATAACGTCTAGGGTTTTTAATTACCTGCCAAGTGACACCTAAATGCATATGTTTTACAAGGAAATCATAATATGACTTTTCAATTAATGCATTTTTTGAGAGCTGATTAGTCGGAGAAAGCAGAAAGAAAGCTTTGATAATGTTGTCAATCCAAAATAAGACTTAAAAGAATAAAAGCAAAATGTATAGAGATTGAAAACAAAGGCAGAATCAAATCGTTTCTTTATTTGGTTGTTGGTGGCATGTTGGTTTATCTGATAAACATGGGGGCCATCACCGCCTAACACAGTAACACCCAACATTTATACAAAAGTTCTTTCAACTACAAATTATCTGTCATAAAATGGAAGCTTTCTTTGACTCCGATTAATTAATTACTCTCTCCATTTCTAAATAAATATCCTTTCTAACTGTGTGTTTTTAGAATGTAATATATGAATATATAATTTCTTTGCATTCATTTCTTTTATAATATTTTTGGATGGACAAGTTCCGATCCGATCCATACCTAATCCCTACTACGTGGGATAACGCGATTTAATGAAGTCGAACTCCGGTGGAAAAAGTGGAGTCAAATGGACTTAACCACTTAACTAACTGACACATCCACAATTTTTTGCATTCATAGAAAATATGTAAAATGGAACAAGTTTTTATAGAGATATAATAAAAAGTTTAGTTTCCCTTTATTAAATTTGCCGGAAAAAAACAAAAAAAAAAACTGATAACTAGAGTATAATGTGAGATGTTTTGTAATACTAAAATCATATCTGTTTCACTCGCACTGTCAAAATTAAACTTTTTGCATAAATATTAATAGTCATAATTTCATATTTGAAATATATATATATTTTTAAAAATTCTGAACATTGTGAAATTAGAATTTGTAGTGGAGGCGATTCTAGAAACCCTGAGAAAACGCTTTCACCGCCTCATTTTTCCGGTGACCTGCCTTCCGCCGTTCACGGATTTTCCTTCTGGTCTATCGGATTTAATCCTCTTTCAAAACCTATGGCTGATCAAAACCTGTGGTTTGCTCTTCAACATCTTAATCTGGGATCTGAGAGAGCTCCCTTGAAACTTTCCTCTGAAGCAAGAAATAAGAGAGATGCGGAGCACCAGCTTAGCTTAATTGTCAAAGGTTTACACCCGTCTCAGATTCCTGCAGGAATCAGAGTTATTGTTGGTGTCGGATCCCGCACCAGAGGTCCAGGACCAACCAAAGATTGCCACGTAGTCGGGGAAATGGCCCATTAAGGATAAAGCCCACTAGACCCACAAGTCAAAAGAACAATCGAAGTGGTTACCACCATAAGGAGAATTCGAAGTGATTGCACCTCGATACGAGTCCGGAGACGAAGTCATGGTTAAGTCGGTCCAAGGACACTTGGGCCAAAAGGTGAGGCCCATGAAGATCAGGGTCAACTCAAATTCAAACGTTGAACATTAAAGTCAAAGATCAAAACGGACACATTTAAGAGGGAATAATTGTACTTAATTATTCATTTTAATGTTGTGTCTCTATGTATAAATATAAAGGCCAATGGCCATGAAAAGGGGATCTCTCTCTCGAGCAAGAAATACTATAGCAATTTTTGTAACAATTCATAAGCCTTTTGTATTCTTATTTTTTGTCCCTCAAGAATAATCTTTCCTACTTAATAAAAATACTTGAGTGTGTGAATCCGACATCCACATTTTGGCGCCGCCTGTGAGGATAGAGGATTCTTGAGTGGTCAGATTTTTGTTTACTACATTCCCGAGATAAACAGCAATGTCCGGAGGAGACGCCGTTGAGACATCATTGGCCGAAACCCTCAAAGCTATGCAGCAAACCATGTCGGACATATCACAAAAGTTCTCGGATGTGGAAAAGGTCGTCGATACGTTGCAAACATCCCAGGTATCTCTTAGTCAAAACGTCAATACTATACAAACTCATGTTCGCTCTTTAAGTGCAGGAAATCCTGTGGGAATCCGAAGGAGGATACTCAACTCGCCAAGTTCCGTTGCGCGAAATGAAACCAGCGGACAAACAACTCCTGGTACTACTGATAATGTAGTTCAGCCATTGGATGGAGAGGCACAGCTCGAAGATGAAGCTCAACTTGCAGATCAATACGAGCAGGAAAACCTCGACCAGTTCGAGACTATGAGGAAGGTTAGCCAAGAACTAAAAGAAATGAAGTCAAAGTTCCATCAGGCTACGAGTTCGGAGCCGGATATCAATCGAGTCATTTAAGAAGCTAGGCGAACACCTTTCATCTCGCGAATTGCGAGTTTGAGAATCAAAGATTCCCGAAAGCTCAAGTTGGACCCTTACAGCGGATTGGAGGATCCAAAGAGCTATCTCGCAGCTTTTCTGATCGCTGCTGGAAGAGTCGAATTGGATGAAGCTGATGAGGATGCAGGTTACTGCAAGCTTTTTTCGGAAAATCTATGCGGCCAAGCTTTAATGTGGTTCACCCAGTTAGAGCCGGGTTCGATCAGCAATTTCGACGAGCTATCAGCTGTATTCTTAAAGCAATATTCCATCCTTATGGATAAAAGCGTTTCGGATGCCGATCTCTGGAACTTATCACAAGGATCAAATGAATCACTTCGAATTTTCATCACCAAGTTCAAAGGAGTGCTGTCAAATCTCCCAAGAATCTCACAACAATCAGCTTTATCTGCCTTACGAAAAGGATTGCGACATGATTCAAGATTTAAAGAAGATTTAATACTTCATAAACCAGACACAATTCATGATGCACTCTTCCGCGCAAACAACTGGATGGAGGTAGAGGACGAAAAAGAAAATTTTGCCAAAAGAAATAAGCAAGAAAAGCCGGCAATCACCGTCCCTACCAAGAAGTTCGAACCCAGGGAGAATAAAGGACCAAAGAAATTTGGGTCGCAACCCTTCAACAGTACCGTCGGAAAGAAATTCCAAGGGAAAGGAAGATCAAACACTTGGGTCCGTGATGAAAGTTTATATTGCGACATTCATAACGTGACCGGACATTTAACCAAGGATTGTAGCGTTCTTAAAAGGCACCTCGCAGAGCTTTGGGCCAGTGGAGATCTTTCCAAATTCGATATAAAAGATTTTATGAAGGAATACCACAAAGCAAAGGAAAATTCCAAAGATCAAAATTCCAAAAGACCAAGGTTAACCAACGAGGAAGAACCAAGGAATTCTAAAGGTAAGATCAATGTTATTCTAGGAGATTCGATAAGTTCCATCAAGAAACATAGACGAAATGTCCTACTCAAAGCAAGCTTGAGCGAAGAAGTCGATTTTCAAGGTGCATCAATATCATTTAATGAAGAAGAAACGCGGCACCTCGAAAGACCTCATGATGATGCTCTAGTCATTACCCTTGACGTTGCCAACTTCGAAGTATCAAGGATCCTTATAGATACATGCAGTTCGGTCGACTTAATCTTTTTAAGTACTTTAGAAAGAATGGGAATTAGTCGGGCGGACATAGTGGGGCCTCCGTCTCCATTAGTTGCATTCACAAGTGAGTCAGCCATGTCTCTCGGGACAATCAAGCTACCGGTCCTTGCCAAAAAGGTATCGAAGATCGTGGACTTCGTTGTCTTCGATAAGCCCGTAGCTTACAACATCA